AAATTTTCTCCGTGGGCTTCAAGTTCTCTCATGTTACACTGGCAGCTGGAGAGGCGGACGTTTTTTGCTTGGCCGCCGAATAACGTCGCAACAGGACTACCATGCACTTCCTCCAACGATAGAACCTGAATCATGCATGGTGATCTTGGGGAATGGGAGCTCCCACGCCCCCACATAGGCAAGAACCAGTGCAAGTCTGCGTCCACGTAAAGTTGCTGAGCAAGACGCAGAGTTCCACCTCGCAGTGAGAGATGAAGCCATGACGTTTGCACGGAAGTTCACTTTCCTTGCCGCTTTGCCGCTTTCAGCAAGTGAGCAGGCCTCGGCCTGTTCGGACGCCGGCTCGGCCGCCTTCTCGGCCATGGTCGCGGCGGTGCGCAGGCATGGCCGCAGCGCCTTGAAGGTCGCACTGCTGGGCACTTAAACAGAGTCAGAGCTGAGAGTGATCTTTTGTCTTCCTTGGCACCATGCGGCACCACTGCAGCTGCCTAGCTCCTACTCCATTGCTCTGCTCCTCGACCTCTCCTTTCACTTTGACAGCACGCGGCCCAGAGAAGCAGATTTTCGGTGCTCTCCATAACAGGACAATGGGACCCTACAATCATCCTTTGGCCACAGGAACCACAATGATCACAATGGGACCCTACAATCATCCTTTGGCCTCGCCCTGGTGTGCTGGTGTGCATTTGGCGACAAAAGAGAACCCTGGCCCTTGTGCCGGCACCAAGAGAGACACAAGTGGCAAAGCCCTCGGTCATGACATCACCTAGAAGCATCTGTGCTGAGATGGGCTACCTAGGCTCCACGTCACATGAAGAAACAGCCAAGACAAAGGAAGGAAACGACACCAGCTGCACGGGAGAACTACTGTAGCCAATGGATGCAGCAGGAAAGCTGCTTGCGTCCCACCCTGTGTCCCACCCTGTTTTGCGGCTGCTGGGCATTTGAGCTTTCTCGGGCTCTGCTTGCGCCGATATAATGTTTGCTTGATGTTCGCCGAGGCGTGTTGGTGTGCTCCGTGAGCTACCTCTCCAGTTACGGCTCCCAGTACGCCGGGTTAGGCACTTACGGATCTTGCGGATTGAGAGCCGCAGGACACACCATAATTAGGTAAAAGAGAACGGAGCGGAGCTCGGAGGGAGCGCATGCATGAGGGGCTCCCTGCGCCGTGCCAGCGCACGTGGTGTGGGCGTTGCCGCTGGGGCGACGGCACATCCCCAAGCTGTCGGGAGCACTGACAAGCTTCACAAGCTTCACAACTCCACAGAGGGTGAAAAGCAGCTTTTTGCCTCGCGCAGTGGCAGGTGGGTAGTCTACTGCGCCGGATGAGCCTTGCCGAGGCCGAGAATGTCGCGATGTCCATTTCAAGGGGTACTGTATGCGTATAGACTATAGGAGCGATCCGCTGTAAGGCGGAGAAAGGCGGCATATGGCGGCGCAACGATCCTGCCAGGGTAGACCCCATGCAAACAGTAGCCCAGAAGTCCGAAAGTGAGGACAGTACGCGCTACGCGAACACAGACGTCCAGAAGCGAGAACGCGATATTCGTTCAAGGATGCGAGCGCGCGGTCTTTAGCGACCTACCCCCGCTTGCCCTGAAGCGTGGGAACCCCTTACATTTTTGACACACGGTTTGGGGAAAAACGGGGACTCTGGAAGGATTGAAGGAGTTAGTCTGAGTTGGGGCGCTCGGCTGTGATTTGTTGTTGAAAGCAGGCGGCTTTGCCGGCGACGCTGGGTTTCATCGGGGCTTGGGCCTTCGCCGCCATGCTGGTCTACTTCCGCAACGGCCCCTACTCCTATGTTCTTGGCCTCGGAACCTCGGAGTCCTGGAGTCTCCGCGTATCTCCGCGTCATCTGAGTCTTCTGGGTCGCCTGAGGTGGGCTTCTGCTCGGCCTTCACGGCCGTCAAGTTCCTTTCCTGTAACTCGGCTGACCCCACAGCCTCCGATCATACGGCATAGCATCCACGAGCGAGGCAGCGTATGAGGTGCAAGGTGCTCTTTGAATAATCGAAGCCAGCACTTCCTTTAGGCGACAGCCTGCAACTCGCCACGACATGCAATTCGACGATGTACGCGTGTTGCCCGACCCAACTGGCACCAGCTGCACATTGCACTTTCTGTTGTGCTCTCATGTTTTCTGCCCTCTGCTGTCCTCTCTTCACTGCGTGTTGAGGCCTGCTGGCCGCAGCAGTGGAGCTGCCGGGACGCCAGTGATGAATCAGCAACTGCAAACTGTCATGGACACCAACCGCCACAATTAAATGGAGGCTGGTGCTGCCCGTGGACGCACGTGACCTCCTGCAGCGGCCCAAGCGTGCGTGCACGCGCGGAGTCACGCAGTGGCCGATAATCGAAACTTTCATGGATTCTCGGCATCGAAGCAAAAGAACCCTACAAACTGAACGACAGGCATCCAAGTGACCAGTCTGAATACCAGAATAAATGGTCCAATGCAAGCCTTTTCATTGGACTCGTACTTGCATACACAGGCAGTCTGCCTGAATTCAATGAGATGCTAAAGGCTCGCCTGTCCTGGCTTGCAAAACCTTTAGCTAAGAAGAAACATGCGTGTTTTTCCGAGAAGGGAAAGAACGACTATCGTCACCCCCGTTGAAAAACAACAGCCCCCTGCACTTCAGAATGTGAGACGAAACCTATCCAATGCGGGTGCTCAGCGACAACAGGAACGCCAGACTGTCCTTTTGGCGCTTTGGAACTCCATATAGGACTATATAGCGAAATCAAGCGAAATCCCACGATCTTTGACCCACGGGTGAAGGTATCTTTTTGTTGTCTTTTTTTTGCATGGTCACGCTTGTCCCACGTTCTTTATGATGCTTGACCACTGGCTAAGCGACTTCATTGAAAGCTGTGGCATGAGGCGAAAAGTCTTGCACACAGGCACAGCCATTGCCACAGGGGCTACAGATCACCTAAAATGTTTCTCCAATCACCCCGCAGGGATAGGCCAGGGGTTCCATCAGGGCCCTTGATTGATATCGGTTTGAGAGGATGTTATGAAAGGCCGCGCAACGCTTCCGGCAGGAATGTTGCCATGGGCGACTCGCGGCGTTAACTCTCGACGATTGCAATGAGAGCCACAATGACCCTCACATAGATACGACATAGTTACGTAGGCCTGACACACCTGTTGATGCAGGAATGCAGGCCTGTGGGCCCCCTGCTTGATGCTTCAAACATCGCAACCAGACATTCTGCAGCTTAGCATCAGGGTGCACACGTTCACACTTGCTGCTGTAAGGTGCAAGAGTAGGCACAGGGGTCTTTTGCCGAGGCAGGCGCGAGTGGCCTCGAGCCTGGTGGGTCGCAGCCCCAAAAGCTGACAGCTCCCGAGAAACGGAGGGTTTCGCTTCGCTGGGCGAAAGTTGATGGGTTCAACTATTGTCGGGATGGCTCGCAACTCGCATCTTCCAGGGTCACATGTTACTTCAAAGTTTGATGGAGTGTCGAGGCATCGTGCTGAGTGTGTGGAAAAAGGCCCACTTAGTAGCGGGCAGCGGGACATATCTTCTGTTGTTTGCACGTTTCTCAGCACCTTCTCCTGTGTCCTTCTTGCTTCAGCTGTTGTCGTTTGTGGTCTTCCTGTAAGGAGCTGTCAAGACCGTCATGGACGTCTCACTGTCATGGTCAGGTATAGGAAGTCCTTGGTTCGTATTCTACGACTGCGTGATCCTGCTTGTCAAGACGTGTTGTGTCGGCTTATGCCGACCTCGTGGCTTGTGCATAGCACTGGGATGGTGATGTCACGAAAGCTCGCTCTTTGAATCTTGCGGGAGTTTTCGTTTGCAATCTTCTTGTTTGGGCCCCCCCCCCCCCTCCTTGGCCTGAACTGTAAGCAGACGCCCTGCTTTGTCCTCGAGAATATTGGAGGCCCCCCCGCCCGCTCCTCTCCTGACCTCGCACGCTCCCAAGAGCTGCAGCTAAACCCAACGCGCAAAGTAAATTCTGTCAGGCCATCAGCTTGCAAAGTCCGAGTCCTTTGCTGCAGCAGCTGCAAGTAAACCCTGCCGAAAAACACCGGCCGCGTTCCCACCTCGGGGCCCAGCTCAAATTCGCCCGGCTCTCAAGTTTCAGATAGTTCCAGTGTCTCGTTTCGTTTGGCAACGTTCAAGTTTCCAGCGCGCTGTGTGCGAAAAGAATGTGCAGCCCTCCTTTACCAAAACGCTTTTTTCTCTTGATGGAACACGGCAGAGCGGCACGTTCTGCAAGAATTCCTGAGACCCCCCGCCCCCCCCCCCCCCCCCCCCCCCCTCCCCCCCCCCCCTCCCGCCCCCCCCCCCCCTCCCCCCCCCCCCCCTCCTCCCCCCCCCTCCCCCTCCCCCCCCCCGCCCTCCCTCCCCCCCCCCCCCCTCCCCTCCCCCCCCCCTCCCCCCCCCCCTTCCCCCCCCCAAATCTGAAATTCGCCTGGGCCCACAAATATTTAAAATTAGGGGGGGCCTAATAAACCCTCAAACCTGAAATCCGAAGCGTAAAGAAACCTCAAAGCTGGAGTTGAAATGCGGACACAGGGGGACCTGATTCCTAATCTTGTCAGCCTTCAGCCCTAAACCCTGAAACCCTAGTGGCTCAACTCAAGGGCGACCCCTCCCCCCTAATTCTCAAACAGGCTGGGTGCCGGCAGGGTCCGGGATTTTTTTTTGGAACTAGGGCGGGGTTTAGCATTAGGGGAAAGCGATTAGTGGACAACGTCGGCCTTACCTGCGCTGCGAAATGTCGGCATGAGACGACATGCTGCGTGACTAAATGCTGAGTTGATAGTATTTAGCACGGCAATAAAAAGACTACAACGCCTCTTGCAGATTATTAGATTTACGTTCGATACGTTTGGGTTCTCAGCTGCTTTATTCTTGATTCCTTCTCCACTTGCTGGCACACAAAAACTGAATGATATGTCAGCGGGGTGTCCTTTCGGCTTGTGGGGCAAAACCATGGCTTCTAAAGTCGGCTGAAGCGCCCGCAATCGACTCTTCTATATGCGAGGTCTGTCGGTGGTGCTTCCAGCGCTGGTCACTGCCGACCCGGCTTGGCGCAGCTTCGCCAGGGAAGGGGCACAGCGAAGCTGTTCCGGTGCATTGGTTCAGAGAAGCGGCATCGCGCATGGTGACGGATACGCACTGCAGTTACCGGACCGTGCAGGGCAAGACATGGGTAGCAACACATGTGTGACATTGAACCTCAGCATCATTTATGTGCACTTTAAGACTTTAAGATTTTTAGACAAGGGCAAGAGCTATATGCATTGTACTGGAGAGGACCTCACGGAACGACTTGTGGAGCTTGGCGCCTATGACAAGCACCCCCGCCGAACCCAGGTCGAAAGATTTCAAGGTATGTTGCAGAAGACATGAGAAAAAGTTTGCAGAAAGCAACTTAGCTTCCGGAGAGATGCTGTTTTGCCAGGTACCTCGAGTGGCGGGAAGGCTACATGCGCTGGCGACAGGGCCTGCACAGCGGTGCCAAGGGCGAGGTCACCAAGGGGAAAACTTTGGAAGAGACTCCGAGATCTGGCTCCTCGGACGCTGGTATACGCTTTTCTTACAGTTTCGTGAGAACCTTTGCCCACTTCGCTGGAGCTTTGCTGAGGTTTGGGGGCAACCTCTTTCCGTCCGCGCGATCGCACGGACTCTGCACGCTTGGATCTGCGCGCGCCTCAAAGGTCATAGGTTGAATCGATCAGGCGAATCTTCTTCTGGAGCATGCAGAGGGGAGAATGCAGAAGAGAGAGTACATGGGGAGCGCTCTGTGGGCAGGCACCCCGCGGCGGTAGAGCTCGCAGCTCCTTCCCAAACCAGTGAGGCCGGGCAGGGGATGCAGGAGCCAGGCCCTCCCGGCTTGGAGCCGCAGGAGATCCAGCTGCGCGTGGAAACCAAAGCGCTCCCCGCACTGCCGGAGATGCGCGCCGTGGCCTCCGAGGCCGCCGCTCTGGCTCTGCCAGGCCTCACAGATCTCCTGCAAAGGACGGGAGAGGAAGGAGACGGTGACAGAGCGTTGGGAGACGAGCAACTCGGCATGACCGGCAGCCTTCTGCTCCCGGCTTTCCGCGCGGGTCTCTTTCGCCGCCGCTCCCATGGCACACGCAGCTTCGACGAGCAGGAAGAGCAGGAAGAGCAGCGCGAGGAGGAGGAGCAGGTTTCCTTGAAGGCCGTCCAGGCAGTGCTGGCAGAGATCCAACAGGCAAGGGGGAGCAAGGAAAGGGCGAGAGAAATGCAAGCCCCCCTCCCCTCAAAAAATAACAAAATTCCATCTTTGTCTCACGTCCTCTTGAGAGATCTTCGGAGCTCATCGAAGCCTTTTGAGGCCCTGGCCCCTGCGCCAGAGCCGAGGCCCCGGCTGTCGCGCCAGTTTGCTGGCAGATGTTTTTGTTGCTTCACCTGGCTGAGCTCTTCGCACTTGCGGAGAGAACGGAGAGAGCCTCGAGTTCCTGCGTGATGCACAAAATCACGAAGTGTGGTGAATGGTGGTTGCCCACAAGCATCCTGAAGATATGTTTCCAGAGGGATCCGGAAGGCACGCAGTGGGCACACATAGGTATACATGGGTACGCCTTGCCAGAGGTTAATTTGCAGGCTGCATGCATCAATGTACTGAGGCTGTCGGCACAGGCCGCCGAACGCCTGGACGGCCTCCGCGTCAGCGGCGCTGCCTGGTGCGCACTGAGCTTCCGGCTCTCCATTGCCCGTGTCTCAAGAATTGAACCAAACTCAAATGCTGAGAGATTCAAGTACTTTGAAACACGCTTCTACCCTGAGATGCGCCTCTGGCTCTCCTTCCTCTGCCGCGTCGCCGGGTGGCCCAGCCATGCCCAGCCCTAGACGAGCATGGACCGGAGCAAAGCGGAGCAGTACAGTATCATAGAATAGTTGTACAGTCTTTGTGGTCACCCGGTCATGACCCCCACACCCGCCATGAGCTTTAGATCCGTACAGATTCGGCAGCTGCAACCTACAGCAGATCACAAGGGGCTGTTTGGACTAACCCAAGAAGAAGCTGCCAATACTCGCAACAACTGTACGTACGTTTAGTCTGTGGTATCAAACCTACACTGGGTCGTGTACACACACACACACACTTGACACCTCACAGTCTTGGAGGGCCGCTCTGTCACTGAATCATACTCCATCAAGGAGACCAAAAGAGTCAAAATGTTCATTGAGGCTCTCAATAGGCTTATTTTATTAGATGACGTATCCAAGGCTCTGAATGTTGAACTGCATTGTTCGGAACCAAGGCACCGTACGTTGAGCTAATCACAACAAAAAGGCCAAGGTGCGAAAATAGCCATGCATCAGATTGTTGCTCTGAATGCTTGAGGAAGCAAACCAGCATATTGGGAAATTGCACAGCGAGTATCATCAAAGGATAACCAATGCACAGCTTGCCCTATTTGGGACGTCACAAGCAATATCTTGAGCAGCTACAGGATCAAGCGTCCTCGATCCTCTCCCACCTTTGGCAATAGTTTCGTTGCATGCAGTATGCCAAAGGTGCTGCATGCCCCTGCTGAAAGGGATTTAATGACTTGAAAAGAGAAAAAGAAAAAAGAAAAAGAACTATACCTTTTGAGACTCAGGTTTCCCACACACACACACACACCCGCGCGCGCGCCCACACACACACACACACACACACACACACACACACACACACACACATGGCAGAGGGTACGGTTCGTTGCGGGCATTTCGTTGCATAGATTGTGATCACACACACACACACACACCCGCACGCACGAGCGCGAGAGAACGCGCGCGCCAAACAGGGAGCACGATGTGTTATGGGCATTGGGCTGTGCACTTGTGATATCACAAATAGGACGGCCAGCACAATTTGTTGCCGGCCTTGGGTTGTGCATGTCGTGATCTCATTGATCTCGCAACAAGATGATGATGCGGCCAGAGAATGTTGGAAGCACATATTGCCATACTAAAATATCCAAAGCGTCGGCGCGCACGGCGTTGAGCACATTGCAATGGTTGCAGGGACCTGAGGGGAAGAAACTAAACTCCTTGCAGCAGCCGCTGCAGCATTGAAGCTGCCGAGCTCCGAATGCCCCTCTCCAGTTCCTGCTCTCATGATTAGGTGTAGCTTAAACTCCTTAGAACTCTCAGTGATTTGGCAACAGAAGAGTGCAGTCACAGGGCTCCCACAGTCCCTATGGACTCACGACAAAAAAGGTGCAGTTTCAACTGTTGAGAGCTCGTCCTGGGTCGACTCTTCGGCACACACCAGTCGACCCGAACAGAATGCCACAGACCATGTCCCTGCGCTAGATGCCAGGTCCACTAATCGGGGAGAAAGGAGACCCCAGCGTGCAGCCTGGATGGGCACCTCTTCCGAGCTATAGTAAGTGCTCTCAACCTACCCAAGGCGAAATGAGGCCGGTGCAAACACGGAAAGTGTTATAAATTGCAGCTCCCCATTGGACTTGAGATTCACCCGAATTTTTAGGCGCACAATCTGCACGGGGCAAAGGTTCTCATTTGCGTAAAGCCTGGAGATGAAACAAGGAAGAAATGCAGCAGAAGAAGAGCTAAGGCAGCTAAGGATGAGCACAATTTTCCCCGTGAGGCGCGGCGGCTGGGCCACAGCTGCTTCCTGGCAGAGTTGCTCGGGGACGAAGCAGCCGCCCCTGCGGAAGCCGCGGAGGCTGGCGCCGGTATGGCATGGAACAGATTGGGGGGTGCTGTTATCTTCGCACTGCATGCGCAATGTGTTTTTTTGGCAGTCTGCATGCTTCTGCCAACAGGAAGTGAACGTGTGTGTGTGCAGACCAACGGCTCGTCCACAATTGGATACAATTAGCTCGCGCACCAGAAGTCGGCTCTGCTGTTGACCAGTGGGAAGGCACCAACCTTGGGCAACTGTCCAAGGTGTTGGAAGACCAGCTCAACCTGTTATCAGGTTCTTCCGAGTTGCTAGCAACCCGAGCACCGCTCATACCGCTCATAGAGCAAGCCCACTTGCACAACCCCAGCAATTCTGACTAGAGCGACTAAAGCAACGCAGAACGCTATACATGGGAGCAGCTCACGAGGCCTGCGGCATCAAAAGCGAGAGAAAGCGGAGATGATGAATAAGTCGCACAAATATTTCGCGGAGCTTCGGCTGTGTAAGCCCCGGCAAACCCAGAAGGAGGGAACGGCAAGGGGGAGAGCGACCTGGCAACCCATGGCAAGTGCACACGGTTGCCAGGAGCTGCTCCTGGCCTTCCGCGCCACGCTGGCCGCCGGCGCCAGGCATCGCATGGCGAGAGAGAGCGAGAGAGAGAGAGAGAGAGAGAGAGAGAGAGAGAGTAAACTCATCGGGAATCCTCACCTTTCCCCTTTTCCCTCGTGGGTCCCTGGGTGTTGGTCGTTTGAGTTGGGGGGTTCGGTTGTTGGGAAAAGGGGAGTTGTTTATAGTTACCCGCTCTGAAAGAGCCAGCCCGAAGCACCCGATCCACCAACTCTGTGGGGAGGGAGTCGCTTCCGTTTCCTAAACCACCAAACTGTGGGGAAGGAGTAGTTGGGGAAGGGTCACAATTAACGGGCGGGATCAGCCATCTCGATCCACACGTAACAGTGCACGTTTTTGCCCAACCCCAAGCCCAAAGAGGCAATGTCTACACATCTTCGCACCCAGGGGGAATTCTTATCTATCTGGTTGGGTTGAGTGGTTCCGTCCAAGATGTGTACACACATTTCACACCAACTGACTCAGTAACGCATGCCCCTTGGGGCGGCTCCTTTCGGGGGGCCTGTTGCGACGGAAGGAAGGAAGGAAGTATGCCCCCAAGAAAGAAAGAAAGAAAGAGAGAGAGAGGGGGGGGGGGGGGGCTCCTAATCGCAGAGAAGAAGAAGAAGAAGAAGAAGAAGAAGAAGAAGAAGAAGAAGAAGAAGAGAGAGTACAACAAAAAGAAATATTTGTATATATACAGCCAGAACTCCAACTGAGCTCCAGGTCCAGGCCCGAGAATCGGTGGCGTGCCGACTCCTGCCCGGCTGTGCCTTTTCCACCTCCGTCTGTCTCTGTGTCACTGCCAGGCGGTTCTGATTTGGGAAGTGCCCCTACTTCTCTTTCGGCATTTCAGGTCTTGCTTCATCCGCTCCTTGTTGTTCGTCGTCGGCGCTGGTTTGTTTGGGGGACTCGGAGACCCTCGAAGGGTTCACTGCCCTCTTCAAAGCCGACTTTCTCCTTGGGCCCTCCTCGTCCTGCTCCTTGGCCTGCTTGGGTGCTGTTTCTCGCTGTCAGCAAACTTTGGCATGATGGCAACCCTTTACGGGCCTGGGGCCGCAGGGTGGGGCAAACATCGCCACGTGAGATGGAGGCGATAGCTATGCATGTTTGAGAATGTTTGTTTCCCTTTTTTTCCTCCCCTTGTCCACCGTTAGTTTTGAGACAAATACGCCGGCTGAGGGGTTAGCAGGGATAAACCCAGGGATTGTCGGAGCAGCACGAGCAACGTAAGCAAACACCACGGCACTTGGGTCAAGGAGCCCAACAACAGGCACTCGTGCCTCGACCAGAAAATCCTGCAAATCTGCTTCGCTTGTGAAATAGGGCATGATTTGGAGTGTGTGGTGGGGTGGGAGGGTTTGGGAGGGTTCAGCTCAATCGTTTAGTGGCTTTTCTGACAGGGCTGTGGCTGGTCAAGCTCCGACAGCACGGGACTGCGCCAAGTTGGAGGCAAGGGTGAGAGTCGGTGTGAACACATTCCTGAGGCTCCTTGATCCCCCCCGCTAACTCATGAAGTCACGCATTGCTGTGTTTCTGGTGAAGCCTTTAACTGCAGTATCTTGCGCTGCTCTGGTACGGACAGCATGCTACATGCCCCAGCCCTACAGTAGGGAGTTGGAGTGACATGTACGGTCTGGGCTAGGCGGGTGACAACACAAACATGTCCCTCCAACATCAGTTTTGCTACGGTTGTGTTGAAGGTTATGAGGGTCATAGGACGACCATGACAAAAATTAGACTACCAGGACTAGTTTTGTTAACACTGTTCGGTAGGTCATCTAACGAGTTGTACATCTATAGGGTGCACGATCTCCAAGAGGCCTCCAGGCTCACACGTGAAAGCTGAGATGCTGTAGGCCACAGTAGCAGTAGAGTGATGTGCTAACTATCAGCCGTCTTTCCCAACTCGCCAGCTTCATAGCCAGTTCATATGTTCTTTGCAGCCAAGCGTTCGATTGGCATGATGCCGCCATCTAGTCCTTGGAAGATTCTTTGTCGGGGAGAGGTTCGACAGGGGTATGTATTACGATGACAATCTGTGACTTCTTCGAGCCGTACCTGACCTCGCATCCAGCTGGACCTTAAAGCACACTCACTTGTTGTCCAATTTCCAACATGCACGCGTTCCTGCTTGGTCAGGATAATCGATGCGCGGTTATTAATTATGTGTGAATGTCTTTTCAAAAGCTTCATGGAGCAGGTCCTACAGCGCATGCATGATTCGAAGGCCTTGAGCCAATGACGAAGCTGTAGCAGTTTGCCTGCAAGACCAAGATAGCCAACGAATACTACTCGTAGCGGCAGCATGGCACTCCACCTGTTCGGCTCCGAGATCCGTCTGGGGGAAGCGAAGCACCGGAAAAAAAGTTTCACGCCGATTTCCAGTTGGCCCAAACTGCAAGTACTTCGACTGACGAAACTGCGGTCGCCAACTGCTCTTGTTTCAAACAAAGATAGGGTTTCCGATTACCCCTGGCCTGGAGATCCTCTAGTTCTTCCGGGCTTTTGCTTCGGCCTAGCCTCTGGTTCAGATTTGCCCATTTACGTGCCCGGACGGCTCTGGCTCCACAGCCCCCACACAATGCCAGTTTTTCTT